CACTCTCTGTCTCTTTATGGGTACATTTAGGCCATTTACATTGAATGTGACTATCAATAGATGTGAGTTTATTGCTGTCATTTTGTAGTGCTTTTTTTTCTGATGCTGACATTTTCTTTGTTCTTCTTACTCTTCTGTGCTGAGTTCCTTCTGTTTGTGAAATTTTGTTTCTTTCATTATTGCAGATTTTGTGTTTACTGAGACTTTATGTTTTTCTTCTTTTATATTTTGATGAGTAGGTTTGTTAACTTTCTTTGTAGTTACCTTGAAATTTACTCTTAATTTCCTAAGATTGAACTAGTTTTTTATTACTTGATAGTGCTTTGACTTCCTCTCCATTTGAAAGTTCTATATTTATACAGCATATTCCCCCTCTTATTGTTCTGATATTGTCTTCATTTACAGATTGACGTCTCTAGTTCCCTGTTTTGAGTCTTTTAGTTTTGTTTTATCCTCTAGAGTTAATTACCTAGGTTGGTATTTGGCTGATACTGACCTGTGTCCTAGATTCAAGTTGTTGTCTGATGTTGTTGGTTCTCTAACTGAAGGACTCCTTTTAATAATTCTTGTAAGTTTGGTTTGGTTTTTACAAATTCCCCTAATTTCTGCTTATCTGAAATGTCCTAATTTCATCATCATATTTGAGAGAGATTTTTGCAGGGTATATTAATCTTGATTGGTAATTTTTTTTCTTTCAAGATTTTATATATATCCTCCCATTGTCTTTTGCCTGCATGGTTTCTGCGAGGCAATCAAGGCTTACTCTTATTGTTTTCCCTTTGTATGTGACTTTATTGTTTCTCTGGAGCTACTTTCAGGATTCTGTCTTTTTCTTTGATTTTGATGAGTGTAATTGTGCTATGCCTTGGTGACTTTCTTTTGGGGTCTATCCTATGCAGAATTCATTGAGCTTCTTGGATGGTCAGCTCTTCATCTTTTCTCTTGATTGTATCCCACATAGTTGTTAGATTTTCTTCATTCTTTTCTGATTTTTCCCCAGACAAAGTGGTATTCATTGACTTTACTTCAGTTGCGCTGATTCTGTCTTCCATTGTTTCAAATTTGCTCCTAAAACCTTCTATTGCATTGTCTATTTCTGAAGTTTTGTTCTTTATCTTTTGGATTTCTAATGCTGTTTTTTTCTTTTTTTTATGATTTCTAATTGTTTATTTTGACTTTTTTTTTTCTTGTGTTATTTTCTTGAATTCACCTACTGCTTTGTCTGTGTTTTCCTTGATTTTGGCTATGTTTTGCTTGGTTTTGCTGTGTTTTCCATAATTTTGTCTGTGTTTTCCTTACTGTCTTTCTCAATATCTTAGAGAACCCTGAATATTAGACTTTTGATTTCCTTATCAGGTAGTTCAGAGCCTTTTCTTCTTCCAGAAGGTTGACTGGTGCTTTATTCTGGTCGCTTACTAGAGCTATCTTGTCCTGTTTTTTATATGTTTTGATATCGTCTGCTGTCTCTGAGACATTCAGGTATTGTTTTCTTTATTTATTGATTGTAGGTTTGTTTGTTTTGTCTTGCTTTTTTGTTTGTTTGTTTGTGTCTGGGTGAATGGGCCAGGCATGTTTTGCTGCTTGCTTGTCTACAGGCACAATAGTTCTCACCACCCTGTCTTGGTGTGCAGGGCCAGTTACTCAGCTATGGTGCAGCAGGGCAAGTCCAACAGGAAGAGAAGGGGCAGAGATGGGTTGTTTATTTGCAGTGTGAACTGGGCCAGGGGCTGGAGCAGGGTCGCTGCAGTCTGCAGGGTCGGGGAGAGTCTTGAGCCAGTGAGGAAGGGCCTGGGTTCTGGGCCAGTTCCTCTCAGGTTGTGGTGGGCAGCGGGGAGAGGCCTGGAGTTGGCAGAAAGGTGCATGAGGTCTGGGACAGGTCCCCTGGGGGCTGTTGTGGGCAGCAGGAGGGGTCTGGAGCTGGTGAGAAGGGGTCTTATGTCCAGGCAGGGTTCCCTGGGACACAGCAGGTGGCAGAAAGGGTCTGGAGTCTACGGGAAGGGGTCTGGGTTCCAGGCTTGGTTCCCTGGAGGCCACAGCAGGTGGCAGGAGAGGTCCAGAGCCAGTGGGAAGGGATTTGGGGTCCGAGTCCGGTCTCCGTGGGACTATAGGCAGTGGCAGGAGGGGTTTGGAGCTGGCAGGAATGGACCTGGGGTCAGGCCAGGTCCCCTGGTTGATGCAGCAGGCAGTGGAAGGGGTCTACAGCTGGTAGGAAGGGACCTGGGGCCCTGGCCAGTCCCCTGGGTGGTGTGGCAGGTGGCAGGAGGGACCCATAGCTGGTGGAGGGGGCCTGGGGTCAGGACCAGGTCCCCTGGTTGCTGTGGTGGGTAGCGGGAGGGGTCTGGAGCTGGCGAGATAGGGTCTGGGGTTGGGGCCAGGTCCCCTCGGGGCTGCCTGTCACAAGACAGAGGATAGAGGTAGGAGGGTGGGTGAAGACAGGGGCAGAGGGGGCTCAATGCAGGAAGAGCAGTGGGGTGGTTTTGTACTCTGGTTCCAGGCAGTCAGGGTTGCCATGATGGGGCAATTATAGCCGCTGTTCACCAGAGAGGTGAGGACTGTAAGAGTGTGCTCCTGCGATTATCAGGTGAGAGAGTCTGGGCTTCTTGAGTTGCAGGCAGCAAACATGGTCTTACTTAGTCCTAGGTGTGTCTGCACCGTAACTCTATCTCCTGTCAGGGATTCTGTGAAGTGCCTTTCTGCTTTTGAGGTTGTTGGCTATATTTCAAGATGGCAATGCTAAGTCATGCTGTTTGGTGAGGAATCTCTACTCCGTATCTCTATTCCTTCCCCATCTTCTGTCAGTTTCTTCTTTTCCTCAGTGACTTCCAATATAATAATGTATCCCTTCATTTAAGGGTCAGGGTTCTAGGATTGACCTCTCTATCTTTTTTACTCGGTTTTTCAGATCTTTGTTGCAGCAGGATGGCTTAGTGTGTCTGACTAGTCCACCATCTTGGCTCTGTCTCCTCATCTTTTTCCCGTGCTCTTCCACAGGTGAACCAGTGCTAATACCATATCTCACTGATGGAGGCTGTCTTTCCTTAGCTTTCATGCTACTTGGTTGCCTTGTGACCTCAGCTTTCCAATGATTTCAAGAAAAAAATATGATTTTATAGATCCTCTGGCTTTTTTTTTTTTTTTTTTTTTTTTGCTGCCAGGGTAGAGGGGATGGTCTTTCCAGTTTTGTTTGTCTTAGGCAGGAAATGAACTCCTTCAAACTATCCAAATCTGTGTTAATGGAAATTCAAAATATTTCCCATTACTTTTTCTAATTGATGGGACAGCATGGAGTAGAGTGATTATATCTTACAGTCACCTCTGTTTTCCCCCATTTCTTATCTCTTGCAATTGCTTCTTTATTACTACACTGGCATTGACCCAGATATGAGACTCAATCCTTTCTCCTTGGTTTCCCATCTCCGTATTAAGAATGAATATAAAATTGCTACATATTGCTGAATTTTCTCAAGATTTTTCCTTTCATTCGGAGGTTAAATAGTACTCGATATCAGAAACAATTTAAAGTCACATCATCTAAAAGTTCTTTGGACCTTGCCATCATATTGCTTCTTACTTGCCTTTTATCTTCCACAGAGCCCAATTCACACTTACATCATTTCACTTGATCCTCTCTCATCTTTACTTTGATTACTTCTTCATTCCTTTTATCTCAGAAATTCCGAAACTCTTTCCCTACTATGAAGAGTTAAATCAGCCTTCTACACTCTTCCAAATGCATATATCCAAACCTATCCAAGCATTCAGCAGATACAACATGGCTTTCATTTTATAGGATATATTCTCACTGGAAGAGAATGCAATCATAGGATGAAAACTATTTTCTCTGTTTGTACTTGCATCCAGTTTTATTGGCTTTAAGCCCTTCCATGAATATAGGGGGGTCCATGAAGCCAGGTTAAAAGAAACATTGCTCAACAGGACATGATTCATCAGTTTTATCCCATAATAAAAATCAAGACTAAGAGAAATGAGGATGGATATCACATTCCCAGTGTGAATTTGAGATCAGGATTTGACTAAGGGTCAGGTCTAACGTCACAAGAGTTTACTAGAAGTTTAGTTCTCATGGTTCTAAAATGATCCTGTTGCATTATCATGTTGATACGTGAAATTCAGTATATTCATATTCTGCAGATCAAAATGGGAAAATTAACACTGGGTTATTGTATAAGAGAATTATCTGAGCATTAAACTTATTAATAACAGCTTACAATTCTATTAACATTGTCTATTCTTAATTCAGATATTCAGAGTTTATCATTCATTCTGTCTTTTAACCGACTTTGTACTGGCTGTTATGGAATATAAAATCAGTATAAGACATTGCCTTTTGTCTCAAAATCCTCCTAATAATTGCTTAAACTCTATATTCTTTTGTCCTGGCATCAAAGTATCTATCAACTAGGTGTTTGCAGAAACAGATGGGAATAGGAGTGAGGAGGATTATGGGCTACAACCATTTCTGCCAGCATTCAACAATCCTCAGTAAGGTTTCTTGGACAACAAGGTAGTTCTAAAAATCATACATGGAGAACAACCACGGCAGCTAAGCTAAGTTTTAGAAAACCTTTCTAATTTGCCACAACACCAACTCATGACTCAAAGTAGAGAGATGAATAAAGAACATTCATTCCATTGTGTGCCAGTGTTAGTAAATTCATGTGACTGTTATAATGTAGAGCTTTAATAAATTCTTTCTTTAGAACCATCCTGAACCTAGTACCTAGAAGGGTTATCATGGCTCAAGGTGGAATCAGACCTTTTCAGTCCAGCTTCTTTGTTGAACATAGCAATTCACTCAGTATTCTGGATGATTTACCGTGCATTCTTTGTCAATACAACTTTTGTAAAATGAGACCTGTACTTTTTACTTTTCTACCTCATAAGTTAAAATTACATTTTGTAATGTAAAAGAATATAGTTATGATAAAAGATCATTTTAGCAATTTGACTTTGTGAGAAATTATTTCTTCTTTAAACAGATTTATAAAACTTTGAACATTCATGTGACATTGGTTGGACTTGAAGTGTGGATAAATGGAGATCAAATAAAAGTAGATTCAAACATAGAAACTACTTTATTAAGTTTTTCATCTTGGCAAGAAACAATCCTTAAAAGAGGGAAAACCTTTGATCATGCTGTGTTGCTCAGGTAAGTGTCTACTCTATTTTCCTGCACAGCATACATTAATTATAAAAAAAAAATGCACAAAAATAATTTTTTTAAAGCAGTTGGTTTTTAAGTAGGAGACAGGGACACGATGTTATGTCTAGTTATTAATTTTTTTTTGTTTTATTTATTAATCTTTCTAATATTAACACTAGAAAGGAAAAATCTGATGTATCCATATTCCTGGACGGAGTTGAAAATATCGTTAGGTAAACAAAGTAATTATAGAATACATTTACTTCATTTATCTGCATCCAATGTTAATGCCCTCACCCTCCCACGCCGTTCCAGGTCCTGATGTTCTACTGTTCTCCTTGCAATGTTTCACCAAGATCCACCTTTCTTGAAAAGCACCTCACTCTCTGGACATATTTTGTTCATCAACGTCTATCCATCCAGTGATCAGTGCTTTAAGAGTACTTTCTCTACTATCCAAGATGACAGATAACTAATCTGATATATTAAACCTTACCACAGCTTTAATCTTCCCAAGGAACAGTTTTCAATTTATCTAGACTAGTAGATTATGAATTACTAAAGAAAAAAGACATTTAAATCATTTTTGTTATTCAAAACACCCAGCACAGTACTTAGCCCAGAGAAATGATAAATAATTGTGTAGCTGATCTAACTAAAGTTTTATGTTGAGCTGTATTTCTGTTATCTTAAGGAATGTTTAATTGTGGAAGAAATTCTATGGAGCAATGGAGTCTTTTTAGCATCTCCTTTGATACCCTTAAAGCTACTCTATTAAAATGTTATCTACTTTATCCACTTCATCTAACAAAAAAAAAAAAAAATTGTCCTAAGGGCTGCAAACACATCTTGAAAATGTTTATGTCTACTCTGTAACACATGGGGTCTCCATGAGTCGGAATCTACTTGAGGGCAATGGGTGAGTTAAAAGCTTTGTGTTAAGTCCATTCACTATATTGCATTTTTCTCTCTGAACACTTATTTATTTATATCTTTTAAAAGGTTTCACTTAGAAATGAGTGCAAGGTAGAATAGAGTGAAGTAAAATGGGACTCTAATCTTATTTATTTAGAAAATTTCTTTTTATGATTTCAACCTAAGATTGCATTGTGTCTTACAATGCCTATAATATACCACAGGTTTCAAATGAGCTCACTATCAACAAAGATCATTCTCAATTCCAGAACTCCAGAAATAAGAAGGACTTTCACCATGATCCAATGAAAAGGCATTAGCATTGTGGTGGTTCACTGCAATTCAATCTTTATGTTAATTAAGACAGTAACTTAGAGTGAAGAGTGTATTTGTATCTTGTTTATAGTGGGAAGTGGCTCTACACACATGCACAAGGAACTTCTTATCCAAAGAGTATGTGCTTGCCACATTTTTCCTCCAGTGTCGTTAAGGTGGGCTGTGTTTTATTTATTTTATATTAGAGTTTGAATTAAATTTCTGTAATTTCCTGTGTCTGATTAAAAGGGGCCATGCATGCTCTGTGTCATATATTCCCACCATGATATGTCCTGAAGAGACTGTCATGTTTCTTTCATCAAATAGGAATAGAAATTTTCATAAAAACCATAGATGAGTAATGAAGGTAAACCACTGTTGTTCAGAATTTAAAAGAACACCATACGCAGATTAACATATAAAGATTAGGAAGGCTCTTTTGCACATTAAATATAGTGATTTATAAGGACATGTGATTGTACACAACACTTGATGGCTGATTTAGCAAATAAGGATAATTATTCTTGTACTGATAGAAAGCACATAAACAATACATCACATCAAGACAGCCTTGCAGTTCATTTTCAGAAACCATTAAACCTACAAATTGATGACTCCCCTTGTTTGTATGATCTTTTCTCAAATCACTGAGCTACTAGCAAATGCTGCCCGACTAACTCTAAGAAGTTCTTAAAAAATCAAGATTTGAATTTGTTTCCTTTAGTGTGTCCGCCTAGTTGTTGCTATGTCCAGTCCAGTCTTGTTAAGACTGTGAACTTAAAAGCTAGTACTTATTAAAATGACTACATGACCTTTTTTATCATACATATAGCTCTTTTTATGCCTATGTCTATGCCTTTGTCTGTGGTATTTTAGCAAAATAATTTTTGCATAATAGTGTCAATCTCATGTGATATAGTAACCACTACTTTGATTGGGATAATACAAGTAGTCCAGAACACATTTTAATCTTCATATTAGTAAGATGAAATGATCAAATCAGGGATCTTGGCTTTACAGTAACCTTATATCCAACTCCTCTTTGGAATTTAAAATTTTGTCACTAATGTAGAGATTAAAACATGAAATAGGAGTCCAATCTGAGGTAACAATCAACTCTGTCATGGATTTTAACTCTCTAAATTTCAGATTTCCCTCATAATAAAAACTCTTTCCTCATGATTTTCTAACCTTATTGCACAATGTGAGACTATAAATTGAAAAACAGAACCAGGGATATTTTTATGTTTATTCCCTTTGAATATCTGGTACAGAGTAGGTAACCAATAATATTTAGTTTACTTTGTAGGATAGTTTTAGTTAATGTTTTAAGCTATTTATATTCTGTATAAATCTAACAATTGCTATTATTGTGCCATAAAATAGAATTTCAAAATGTCAGCACTAAAGTCACTTAAAAGGTCATTTGTCCAACCTCATTATATAATTAAAGAAACTGAGGCATAGGGAAGGGAGATAACTAAGTTCTGTGTCTCTTAGCTAGCTATTAGAAACCAGATCACTCAACCACTAGTTCAAAGCACTATGTATTCCAGTGTACTATCCTTTAGAAACATCTAATGCACTATTTTTTTGCATCAGGATCTCTTACCTGATATAAATATAGTTGCAAACAGAATGGCCCATCAGTTGGGGCATAGCCTTGGAATGCAGCATGACGAATTCCCGTGCACATGTAGCTTTGGAAGATGCGTGATGGATAGCGTTGGGAGGTAAGGCTCAAACAATATAGAGAATACATTTAAATATTTTGGGAGTGGTAACCGAGTAAAATTCCATATTGTTGGAGTATATTATTATTCTGTGAATTTTTTCAAATATACCCCGGAAGGTCCATTACAAAACCAGGCATGCCAAGGAGTTTCTTTTTTTGAGACTGAATCCTATCAGTGTATTTCTCGAATGATATGGTGAGACAAATTCTAAAACTCCATCTGGACATATTGCAAAAGTACACTATGACAAATTACTAATATCCATAGCAGGGCACTTAGGGAAGAATTACACTCCCCATGCCTTATTTGACCATCTTTGCTATAACCTGTAACTTCTTTCTTCTTCAAATCTTTACTCGAATGCCTGTCTCAGTGAGGCCTTTCTTAGCCACTTGATCCAACCTTTCAATCCTGTCCACCACTCACGTTTCCTGGTACTTTCCATGGCCCTTTGGTTTTTTGTTTCTCCTTAGCACTTATCACTATCTAACATATTTTATATATTTTACTTATTTATCTTGTTTATTATTTTACTTTCTCACTAGAATATAAGATTCACGAGATCAGAGATTTGTGTCTGTTTTGTTCACTGTTATATTACCACTGTCTAGAAAAGTCCCAGGAACATGTCGTTGTTGTTATTTGCCTTTAAGTGGGCCCCTGACTCATGTCAACCTCAAGCACAATGGAACAAAACTCTGCCCAGTCTTGCACCATCCTCATGTTCAGTTGCAGATATTACCATTGTGATCCATAGGGTTTTCATTGGATGATTTTCAGAAGCAAATAGACAGACCTTTCCTCCTAATCCATCTTAGTCTGGAACCTCCACTGAAACCTGCTAGTGTCATAGCAACATACAAATCTGTTGCCCTTGAGTCAGTTCTGACTCAAAGCAACCCTATAGCGCAGAGTAGAACTGCCCAATAGGGTTTCCAAGGCTGTAATCTTTAAGAAGTAGACTGTCACATCTTTCTCCCACAGAGCCATTGGTGAGCTCAAACTGAAGATGTTTTGGTTCACACCTGAGGGCTTCACCACTGTGCCACTAGGGCTGTAGCAACACACCAGCTGTCACTAATGGAGGATTAGTGACCGTGCATGAGATCTATTGGACAAAAACAAACCTGGGTCTCCTGCATGGAAGGAGAAAATTCTATCACTGAATCATCACTGTTCCCTAGGCACGTGTTAGGTACTCCATACATAGTTACAGAATGAATGAATGTCCAGAATTCCCACATTATACTGTAAATATTTTGTAATCAGGTCCTAAGTCTCTCACATCTTCACAGTCTCTAACATAGTGCATTGTATATCATAAGTAAAGCATCTGTTGATGGTGATCAGTGTTTCCATATAACAATTTAATGAGGTAAAGTAGCTAAAGCACCCCACACAGTGGCTGGAATACAGTAATCACTCAGTAACTGGTATCTAGTTTTTGTTCGTTTGTTTGTTTGTTTTTTGTTTTTTTGATTTTATTGTGTTTTACATGAAAGTTTACAGAGCACATTAGTTTTTCATTCAAAATTTTATACACAAATTGTTTTGTGACATTGATTGCAATCCCTGTAATATGTCAGTATTCTCTCCCTTTCCTTTCCACCCTGGATTCTCCCTGTCCATTCATCCAGTTTTCCTGTCTCTTCCTGCCTTCTTTTCTTTTCTTTCAGGCAGGTATTGCCCATTTGGTTTCATATACTTAATTGAACTAAGAAGGACATCCTTCACATGTGTTATTGTTTGTTTTATAGACCTGTCTAATCTTTGGCTGAAAGGTGGATTTCAGGAGTTGCTTGAGTTCTAAGTTAGCAGGGTGTCCGGGGCCATAGTTTCAGGAGTTTCTCCAGTCTCTGTGAGACCAGTAAGTCTGGTCTTTTTTTGTGAATTTAAATTTTGTTCTACATTTTTTCTCTTCCTGGGACCCTTTATTGTGATCCCTGTGAGAGTGGCCGGTGGTGGTAGGTGGGCACCATCTAGTTCTGGGTTCAGGCTGGTGGAGGCTGTGGTCCATGTGGTCCGTTAGTCCTTTGAGCTAATATTTTCCTTGTGTCTTTGGTTTTCTTCATTCTCCTTTGCTCTGGAAGGGACAGGACCAGTAGTTATATCTTAGATGGTGCTCACAAGCTTTTAAGACCCCAGATGCTACTCACCAAAGTAGGCTGTAGAACATTTTCTTTATGAACTATGTTATGCCAATTGACCTAAATGTCCCCCAAACCATGATCTCAGCCCTCAGCTCCAGTAACTCAACTCCTAAAGGTGTTTGGATGTGTCTAAGGGGCTTCTACGACTTTGCCTGATCAAGTTGTGCTGACTGCCCCTATATTGTGTGCTGTCTTTCCCTTTACCAAAGTTGACTTGTCTACTATTCAGTTGGTGATTCCCCTCCTCATCGCTCTGCTCCTGTGTACCATCAAAGATTGTTTTCTTCTGTGCGTAAATCTTTTCTTGTGTTTTTTAACAGTGATCTCATACAATATTTGTCCTTTTGTGATTGACCTATTTCACTCAGCGTAATGCCCTCCAGATTCAGCCATGTTGAGAGTTGTTTCTCAGATTTATCATTGCTCTTTATCCTTGCCTGGTATTCCATTGTGTGTGTGTACCATGATTTCTTTATCTATTCATCTGTTGATGGGCGCTTGGGTTGTTTCCATCTTTTTGCTATTGTGAATAATGCTGTAATGAACATGGGTACACATATGTCTATTCATGTGATGATTATTGTTTCTCTAGGATATACTCCTAGGAATTAGATTGCTGAATGGTATGGTATTTCTACTTCTGGCTTTTTAAGGAGGCATCATATGGTTTTCCATAGTGGTTGTACCATTTTACATTCCCACCAGCAGTGCATAAGAGTTCCAATCTCCATGCAAACTCTCCAACATTTGTTATTTTCTGTTTTTTTTTAATTAGTGCCAGTAACATTGGGGTGAGATTGTATCTCATTGTAGTTTTGATTTGCATTTCTTTAATGGCTAGTGATTGCAAGCATTTACTCATGTGTTTGTTAGCTCTCTGAATGTCTTATTTGGTGAAGAATTTGTTCATATCCTTTATCCATTTTTGACTGGATTATTTGTATTTTTGTTATTGAGGTTTTGAAGTGCTCTATAGATTTTAGAGAATAGACCTTTGTCAGATATGTCATAGCCAAAAACTTTATCCAAGTCTGTAGATTCTCTTTTTACTCTTCTGGTGAAGTCTTTTGATGAGCATAAGTTTTTAATTTTTAGTAGCTCCTGGTTATCTAGTTTCTCTTCTGGTGTTTGTGAATTGTTAGTTATGGTATATGTTGTACTTATACCATGTATTAGGGCCCCTAGTGTTGTCCTTATTTTTTCTTCCATGATTTTTATCATTTTAGGTTTTATATTTAGGTTTTTGATCCATTTTGAGTTAATTTTGTTTATAGTGTGAGATATGGGTCTTATTTCATTTTTTACAGTTGGACATCCAGTTTTGTCAGCACCATTTGTTAAAAAGACTGTCTTTTCCTCATTTAATGGACTTTGGTTCTTTGTCAAAGATCAACTGATTATAGGTGGATAGATTTACATATGGGTTCTCGAATCTGTCCCATTGATCTATGTGTCTGTCATTGTACCAGTCTTAGGCTTTTCTGACCGCTGAGGCTGTATAATAGATTCTGAGATTAGGTAGTGTGAAGCCTCCAACTTTGTTCTTTTTCTACAGTAATGCTTTGCTTCTTCGAGGCCTCTTTCCTTTCCATATAACGTTGATGATTAGTTTTTTCATCTCCCTAAAGAATGCTGTTGGTATTTGGATAAGGATAACATCATATCTGTATATCACTTTGACATTTTCACAATGTTGAGTCTTCCTATCCATGAGCATCGTATGTTTTTCCATTTATGTAGGTCTCTTTCTGTTTCTTGCAATAGCATTTTGTAGTTTCCTTTGTATAGGTCTTTTACTTTCCTGGTTAAATTTATTCATAATTATTTTATGTTTTTAAGGTCTATTTTAAGTGGCATTGTTTTCCTGATTTCCTTTTCTAAGTTCTCGTTGGTGTATAAGAATCCAACTATTTTTTGTATGTTTACCTTCTATCTTGCTACTCGCTGAACATTTCTTCATTTCCAGTAGTTTTCTTGTGGAGTCTTTAGGTTTCTCTATGTATAGTATCATATCATAAGTGAATACAGAAACTTTTACTTCTTCCTTACCAATTTGGATGCACTTTATTACTTTTTCTTGCTTTATTCCTCTAGCGATAGGTTTCAGCTGAGCTTCCAGACTAAGATAGATTAGGAAGAAGGACCTGGTGGTCTACTTCTGAAAAGAATTAGCCAGTGAAAGCCTTATGAATAGCAGAAGGACTTTGCCTGTTATAGTGCCAGAAGATGAGCCCCTCAGGTTGAAGGCACTCAAAATATGACTGGGGAACAGCTGCCTCCTCAAAGTAGAGTGGACCTTATTGATGTGGATGGAGTCAAGCTCTCAGGACCTTCATTTGCTTATGTGGCATGACTCACTATGAGTAGAAACAACTGCAAACATCCATTAATAATTGGAATATAGAATGTATGAAGTATGAATCTAGGGGAATTGGAAATTGTCAAAAATGAAATGGAACACATAAACATTGATATTTTAGACATTAGTGAGCTGAAATGGACTGGCATTGGCAATTTTGAATCAGACAGTCATATAGTCTACTATGCCGGGAATGATGACTTGAAGAGGAATGGCATTGCATTCATCATCAAAAAGAACATTTCAAGATCTATCCTGAAGTACAGCACTATCAGTGATAGGATAATATCCATGTCTTAGTCGTCTAGTACTGCTATAACAGAAATACCACAAGTGGATGGCTTTAACAAAGAGAAATTTATTTCTTCACAGTGAGGTAGGCTGAAAGTCCAAATTCAGGGTGTCAGCTTCAGGGGAATGCTGTCTCTGTCTCTTGGCCTTCTCATCGATATTCCCACGGACTAGGAGGTTCTCGGCACAGGGACCCT